TATTCTTTATTTTTATTTATTTTAAGACAGGGTCTCACTGTGTAGCTCTGGCTAGCCTGGAATTTACTGTATCAGTCAGGCTGGCCTGGAGCTAATAGAGATCTACCTGCTCCTGCCTCCTGAGTACTGGAATTAGACATGTGTTATCACACCTGACTTTATTTATTCATTTATTTGAGACAATATCTCACTATGCAGCCTTGCCTGGCCTGTACTTATTGTGTAGCTCAGGCTGGCTCTGAGTTTGCGGCAATCTTTCTCTTTCTCCTTCCTGGATGATGTAATGACAAACCTGCCTGGTCAAACATCCTTCACATTCTGAAGAATAGTCACAGCTCTTTCTTTCTTTTGTTTGTTTTGAAGCAGGCCCTGTGTATCCATGGCTAGCATCAGGGTCCGGATACCTCTGCCTCTATATCCTGAATACTGGGGTTACAGATCCATGGCCCCTTCTCACTGGCATTTTAAACCTCTGTTCTGCTTTCATTTCCTTTGCTTATCTTCTAACACAATCAGACAATGCGTGTCTTTTGTCAACTCCAGTTCCACAGTGGTGTTTCCCCTGATCCCAGAACATACCAATCACCTCGGGTACCACCTGGGACACAGCCCACCAGCGACACATTCCCCACCACCCTAGCACCAAGCAGTGGGCAGGGGAGGAACTGTAAGCTGGGCTTCCTGGGTTACTGGGAAGGTCTGGCACCACTTGGAGAATGTTGCCCTGGTTGTAACTGGTGAAGGAAGGGTGCTTCTGCACATGAAACTACCTGTTCTAGCTAGGGTTTCATTGCTGTGAAGAGACACCGTGACCACGGCAAGTCTTACAAAGCAAAACATTTAACTGAGGCTTGGCTTATAGATTCACAGGTTTAGTCCATTACTGTCACGGAGGGAAACATGGCAGCACACAGGCAGACGTGGAGAAGGAGCTGAGAGTTCTACATCTCGATCTGAAGGCAGCAGAAGTAAAAGCCCCACTAGGCCTAGTTTGAGCATATGAGACCCCCAAAGCCCGATCCCACAGTGACACACTTCTTTCAAAAAGGTCACACCCACAAGGCCACACCTCCTAATAGTGCCACTCCCCATGGGCCAAACATTCAAACACATGAGTCTCTAGGGGGCTAACCCTATTCAAACCACCACACACCCTGTGCTGGTTGATACAGGGTAAAATTGCCTGGGAAAAGGAAACCTCATCTGAGGAATTACATCCATCGGATCAGCCAGTAGGCAAGCCTGTGGGAATTTTCTTGATTAATGATTGAGGCTGATATGCCCAGCTCACTGTGGGTGGTACCACTCCCAGGCTGAATAAGAAAGCAAGCCAACAAAGACTACTTAACAAAACCCCAATACATGAGGTTTTGTTATGTACTGAGGAGCCCTCTTTTGAGTTATTAGTCAGGGTTGTCCAAAAAAAGAAAGAAAAAAATCCCAAAAGATACAGCCAGTTCCTAAAGCCTTTGGTTGCCCCATGGCCAGGCATGGTCATGCAGGTCTCTGATCACATCAGTCAGCAGGGAGAGGCAGATGGATTGCCTTTGGTTGCTCTAGGAGGTCCCTATTGCTAAAGACACCATATGCTTTAGTAACTGGTCCCAAAGGCCTCTGAACTGGAACTGCCTGAAAGCCTCTTCCCTGAGGACTAGCTTTCATGGTACAAGAAGGTGCCATGCAAGCTTCCAAAGGAGGGAGCCCACTGACAGTGCTAACCAGCTATGGCTATCAACCACAACAAGACCCGCATGGCACCATAGCCCTAAGAGTGCAGTGTTGGCATGCATGCCTTGACAGTAGACAATACCTCTCTAATTGGACTTAAGAGCATTCAACAAGAGGGAAACTATGCTGAAAACCTAGCCAACCACCCAGGTCTACTATAGCCATGGATCTTGGGGGAGAACCTACAACCACGTTAGGAAAGCAACAATCTAACCATTTGTCCTTATTCCACAGATAAGTGTAGTCCTCATTCCTCACCAGGCAAACCTCCCTCTGCAGCAGATGGAGGCCACCACAGAAACCCATGACTAATCAAAACGCAGAGTTGCGGAGGCCAGTCCCAATGGACACATCGACAAAGCAACTCTCCCAGCTAAGGCTCAGGCAATATTGTGGAAGAGGTGGTGGGAAAACGTAAGAGCCGGGGATCAGGGAGCTTGCTGTGAAATAGTGTCTCCTGGCAATGTCAGACCCTACACCCATAAAGTCTCACCAACATGACTGTCTGAACAGGAGCTGAAAAAGGACAATGACAGACATGCTAAAGGGAAGCGGGAGGAAAGCTCAGGAAGCCGCAACTCGACACAAAGAACTACGGACAACAGGCAACAAGGAACACTGAGAGTGTGAGAAACGGTTTTCCCCAGAGAAAACCACACCAATTGGTTATCCAGTACCAAATGGTCAGCCCTGAAGATATGCACACAAGTGACATTATGGAGACCAAGCGGTTATATTTAGAAATCTGTATGCTGTAAAATGAAGTACACCTGTCCTGCCCCAGGTTTTGTTATGTCATCCTGCTTATAACAGCAAAGGAAAACAAACTAGAACACACACACACACACACACACACACACACACACACACACACACACACCAAGCCTTTTTAGCTCAGACTTGTGGTGCCACCATCACTCTCCCCTATTGTGGTCTCTCTTGCTTACTTTAGTTCTGTTGATTGAAAGTGGCTGGCTCTATGATCACCTCCCCTGAGGGAGAGCAGCCTTACCAGGCCACAGAGGAGGACAATGTAGCCAGTCCTGATGCGACCTGATAGACTAGGGTCAGAGGGAAGGGGAGGAGGACTTCCCCTATCAGTGGACTTGGGGAGAGGCATGGGAGGAAAAGTGGGAGGGAGGGTGGGATTGGGAGGGGATAAGGGAGGGGGCTACAGCTGGGATACAAAATGAATAAACTGTAATTAATAAAAAATGAATAATTTTTTTTAAAAAAAGAAAGCGGTTGATTTTACACATTCTCATTGGCCTGACTGTCCTGCATGTTCATTTTCCTACATTACAGCTCAGGACTGACACCCAGTGGCTTGTGAGAATAAAGCTCTCCAAGTGCATTTTCAACTCAGTGTAGGAATGGAATGGAAGAAGCATTAACTTCTTTGCCGGTGAAAGCTGCAGAACTTCCTAACCAGAAGTGAAAAGAAGAATGCCCCCATTTGGGGGATTAGGGAGCCTTCTACCACTGACCCACATCCTCAGCCGGGCCTTCTCAGAGAGCTGGGTTTAGCCATTCATTTCCGCAACGAGTGAGGACAGCCCTGAAAACATATATGCAAGCAACATCATGCAGACCGAGCAGGTTACATTTAGGAAAAAATATATGTATATATGTAAACACATATATGCATAAACATGTATGCATGGAACGGCAATTAATGAAAAAAAAGAGGCTGAGATTTGGGAGAGCAAAGAGGTATATATGGAAGAACTTGAAAGAAGGAAAGGGAAGAGAGAAATGTGTAATTATATTATAATCTCAAAAGCGCTCTGATTATTACAGAATTGAAGACTATGAACCAGTGGGAAATTTTCAGTTGTGTTGTTGTAACTGAGGTTTTTTTTTTTTTTTTTTGTGTTTTTTTAATTTAGTTAGAATTTTTCATTATTCACTCATTGGTTCGGGGACATTTAGGTCGTTTCCATTTCCTAGCTGCTGTGACTAGAGAAGCAAGTAAACATAACTGAGCAAGTACATATGGGGTGGGATGCTGAGACCTTTGGGCATATGCTAACGAATGGTCTTACGGTAGAGGTAGATTTAACTTCAGCTCTCTAAGAATTCTCCTCAGTGGCTTTCAGAGCGGCTGCGTCCGTTCGCAGTTCCACCCAGCGTGAATGAGGGTTCATGAGTTAGGTTTTTTTCTTTTCTAAATAAGCATTAGTTTTACATGCATATATTTATTTATAGGTGTGGCCCGCGAGATGGCCCAGCAGGGAAAGGTACAATCTGACTTTGAATCCCAGGACTTACATATAGAAAGAAACGACTCTCACAAGTTGGCTTCTGACTACCATACCTACGCCATGACACCAGCGTCCAGCCACACAAATAAACAAATGCAACACAATTCTTTTAATAGTGAAGTTCAAGTCCGGATTTTGTCTACAAAATATAAATACATCTTCAGATGAAGGTTTGGCAAATCATGCGCCTTACGGAAATACTTGCTATCCCATGGTGATGTGCAATCAACTGCTGCCGGTGGCAATGCCAGGTTTGCTTCAGTGTCGGTGCTTGCACGTGCAAACCTCACCACATTAAGACGTTTGCATGCAGGGGGCTGGGGAGATGGCTCAGTGGTTGAGAGCACTGGCTGCTCTCCCAGAGCAGGTCCCAAGTTCAATTCCCAGCGACCACATGGTGGCTCACAGTCATCAAGAATGGGATATGAGCCCTTCTTCTGTCATGCAGGCATACATACAAACAGAGCACTCATATGTATAAACAAATAAATCTTAAAAAAAAAACTGAAGGGGAAAAAAAAGAATTTTATGTGTATGGCTCTTTTGCCTGTTTGTGTATTGTTGTCCCGTGTATATGCCTGGTACCTGAAAAGACTGACAGAGGGTGTCACAGCCCCTCAAACTGGAGTTACTGGTGGTTATGAGCTACTGTGTGGGTGCTGGGAATCAAACCTGAGTCCCCTAGAAGGGCGGCCAGTGCTCTTAATTGTTGAGCCATCTCTCCAGCACCCCAACCAATGAAAAATATGTGAACTGGGTCTAACTCTATTGCTCTAGCCAGTCTTAACTGTTCAAAAGATCCTCCTACCTCAGCCTCCTGGGTAGCTGGAATGACAGGCTTCTGCTGGCACACCTGGCTCTGTATACTTTATCAACACATCTTCTGAGATTAAAACAAAACAAAACAAACAAACAAAAAAAAACAACAAAAAAAAATCAGTCTAAACACAGATTTCAGAACCTCCTGTGGACTTAAAAAAAACTTACATTTATTTATTTTGTGTGCATGTGTGTGGATGTACTTATCACATGGTATATGTATGAAGGTCAGAGGACAACTTGTAGGACTTCTCCTTTCGCATGTGGATCCAGGGGTCAAACTCCAGTCCTTGGCAGCAAGTCCCTTAATCTACGGAATGGTCTCGCTGGCACCTCGTGAACTCTTGATGTAGAGTTTTCATCACTTTCAATTCTGCAAGCTCAGCATCCCCAATCAAGACGAGCACCAGGCTCGGAAGCAGTGGCTCCACTGGCTGCCATGTTGGGAAGGTCTGGTGTTTCACGGAGAGGGACGAGTCTGAGTGTCAGCTGAGTGTCACTTGAGCTACTTAGCTTACAAATTTCCCTTAGACCTCATTAACTGGGCCTGGGAGTTGAGGGAAAAGATAACATAAGTGCATAAGCGGAAGATCCAACCAAAAACAGGTAGAAGGCTTTTGACATACAGTGAGATTCTATAATTAACACAAACGTCAGAAAATTCTGATGCACCCTGGGAACCGTGGTTACAGGTCCTGCTGCAGGCAACAGAAGGACTGGCTCAGTTAGAGCCGCTGAGCACAGCTGACTTCATTCACTCTCCCCTCTCCTGACTTGGCAACCTGCTGTGCTGTGTTTTGGCTGCCACTGTTCTTGCGAATGCTGTTCTGAGGATATCACAGCTTATGTGGAGAGGCTGGGATTGATGCTGCTGGAGACCTGGACACACAAGCAAAGAGAGGTAAGAAAAGGGTCTTTCACTAAGCTTGAGTTTCGTCCACTGTGCTAATAAATAAAATGTGTTCTGGAAAGAACTTTCCATTGCTGCTGCATTTCCTGTCTTCTAAGTCAGTGCTGGGGCTCTGCCTCTGCTCCTGTCTCATTACCACCATTGCTATGACTACTCTTTAGGGATAGGGTCTCCCTGTGTAACCAGGCTAGCCTAGAACTCATGGCCATCTTCTTGTGAGAGCCTCCCACGTGTTAGGATTACAGGCCAGGTTTGTGCCCAACTAAGCTGTGACTGTTACAAGAAGAGAGTTTTACCCCCCCCCCCGGTTAATTTTCCTGATTAATCAGGAAAAACTCATACATAAACTCATACATCAGGAAACTCACTTCCCATTTGGCAAGATGGCATCTTGCCCATTACTGCCTTCCCGAGTCTCCATGAAATACTTCTTTCTGTGGATAGAAATAGCTGGATTCATGGTTGTATCATAGCACCTGGAGGGGAACAATGCTGGAGGGAACCTTATTTAGAGTGAGTTTGGTAGCAGATGTGCCCAGTTAGAGGGCTGTTGGTTCTCATTAAGTATACCATTGTTGGACGAAAAAACAGTTGTCTTGTGTTCACAGCTTCTCCCATGGAAAACATGAAAGGTAATTTCTGTTCTGTTCCTTCATTTGGAAGAGATCGTGAATCACACTCATATAACCTAGCCTACCATTTTCTTGTCTTTTACCCCACCCCCATTTTTTTTAAACTAGGCAAGATCTCATATAGCCCAAACTGATCTCAAATTCACTAAGTAGCCAAGGATGACCTTGAACTTTTGATATGCCTCCATCTCCTGAGAGCTAGGGTTTCAGATTTAGACTGGAGATTAAACCAAGGGCTCTTGTGTATGCTAGGCAAACTCTCTTCCAACTGAGATACCTCCTTAGCACCTTTGTCTTTTCTTTCCTTCTTCATTTTCCCCTCCTCCTCCTCTTCTTCTTTTTTGTCCCTCCCCACTCCCAATGGTATCTTGTAGCCTAGGCTGAGCTCCAGCTGACTATGCAGTTGAGGATGACATTGAACTAAAAACTTTTCTTCATTCATTTTGTGTTAGGGGGCCTGCACATGTGTGGAGATCACAGGACAATTGCTGAGAATCAGTTCTCTCCTTTCCCTTCAGGGGTCCAGGGGGTTGAATTCAGGATTGGCAGCAAGAGCCATTTTAGCCACAGAGCCATTTCTATGACCTGCAACCTGGACCAGCAGGTGGTTCTTGAGTGACAGATTTCTGAGTGGGAGTTGCAAAGGGATCAGAGATAAGGAAGAGGAACAGGTGGACTGAAGAGGTCCTACATATGCTGTGTCTTATGCCAAGGGAGCCATTAAGAAGTACATCTTATACACTATTTACAGGGGAGCAATGGGATGAACTCAGCAGACTTTTCCATATAATGGACCTGACCTCTGTAAGCAGAGCTTTCAGAAGAAGCTGAGGTGTGTCATAGCAGGCTTCTGGCTTGGGGAGATGGGACTCCATCAAGCCTTTGCTGGGGGCCTAATGCAAATGGCCTGGTGGGTATGACACACTGCGGCTCATGACATTCTCCTCTGTCCCAGGGTCTGCCTTCTGATGTAAGATCGCTGCAAGCACAATCTCCAGGGAAGCTTACTTCACAGAGGTTTAAAAGCTGAAGGCCAAGGGTATAAAGGTTCACACCCGGAATCCCAGCACTCAGGCTGGAGCCTTGAGGATGCCTGCTAGTTTGAAGCTAGCCTGGGTTGCATAGTGAGTTTCCGGAGTCAGAAATTTGTCTTACCTCACAAATAGGTTTAATAACTGTTCCTATGTCTGCTCACCAGCCCCGCCCTTGCTGCTTATCAACCCTTGGTTAGATTAGTGTAGTTTAAGCTCATGAAACCAGTTTCCTGAAATGTTGATTCATTGCTGAATTTGAGAGCGTGTACACTCACAAATCCTTAGAATGGTTTAATGTTTAAGCATTGTCATCTCTATACTTCCCGCCTGTTCTTTCCCAGCACCTTTCCAGGTTAGCCCACTGGGAGTGGACTGTGAGGTGGTACCTCAGCCAATGAGGGATATCCCTATCAACAGGGATAAAAGACAGATGCCACCCTGGCCACAAGTGCTTACCCTCTGATTTCTGGACCATACAGCTTTCCAATCAGAAGTTACTAAAGCATTACCGAGACACTGTAATCGATGAGGTAGTTTTCTATCTTACAATACTGAACACATTTCTAACGCAGGCCAGCGAGGGCCAGAGTGAAACCCTGTGTCAGCTCAAAGTCAGAAATGGAAAACTTTCCCTTCCTGTCCTGGCGTGTTTTGCTTATGGCTGTGCTGAATTCCATTTGGGCTAGCTGGGGAGAAACCTGATGAAGTCTTGAAAACAAAGCATGTCTATATGCAAAGCATACAGACTGTAAATCTACTCAGTCTATTCATTTTTCCATGTTTGTTTACATACCTGTATATGCAGGTGTGGAGGGCAGAGTGGTGTCATTCTTCAGGCACCTTTCATCTTTTTGTTTGAGATAGGGTCTTTTGTTAGCCTGGGGCTCTGCAGAGAAATCTAGACTAGCTGGCCAGTGTGGTTCCAGGAATCTTCCTGTCTTATCTGTCATTCCTTCATCATAGGATTACAATCATGTGCCACGGTTGGACTTTTTACCTGGATTCTGGTTAAGCAAACTAAGGTCTTTTTTTGTGTGTGTGTGTGTAACCATCTTTATTATCATATAACGTCTAGTAGATTTTTAAATTGTAAATTACTAAAATGTGACTGGTAGGAGTCACAGGAAAGTGAATAATATCAGACAAAATAGGACTATGAAATAAACTAATTTCATGACCAAAAACAACAACAACAAAAGACATGATGAGTGAATGTATAGCAAAAAAAAAAAAATTCTTCTTTTAAGGAGACAAACACAAATGCATTCAACATAAATGCATACTCAGTACTGAAAATGATGCATCTAATCTTCATGATGACAAATTATTAAGAATAAGACTACAATCAACAGAGGAAAAACCATTTCAAAGCTGTTTTAAAATCATAGTTTAGGGTATAAAGAGTTGAGTTCGGCTCTCACTTTCTACCACATTCACATAATTCAATCAATATTTATGTGAATTTTTTTTTCAGGTTTTTGAAGTTTCAGTAAACACATTTACCACAGAATGCATATTTGTCAATGGATGTGTATATGAGATGAATGTAATTATGAAGAAATTAAGACTTCTCATTGGTGTGAAGCACCATAACTAGAAAGCTATATTTAGGATGCATTTAGAAGCAGTGTATAATCGGGTGAGTGAATATATAATGAAAGAGCAGTTGAAGGAGCAAGTATATTAAGGAGAGAATGGTTGAGGAGATGACAGATGCTGAAAAATGTAACACTGGGTGTGTCTCAGTAACCCAAGAGCTCACAGAACAAGGCTCTGATGAAATATATATATATATATATAAATTTTGAAATTTTTATTTAAAATTTGAAATTTGTGAGCTAAGTCTTTTGGTCTGGATTAGTAGCCAGTTATACAAACTATAAACATGGGTGTAACACAACTTTGTCATATATATATATGTGTGTGTGTGTGTTTGTGTATATATAGAGAGAGAGACATATATATTCATATATATATATATGTATATATATATCTTTCTCTGTGTGTGTGTGTGTGTGTGTGTGTGTGTGTGTGTGAGATGTGTGTGTGTCTGTGTGTAACAGACATATCTGCTGGGTAAATGAGTACAGCATATCCTCAGGGAAAGCAGAAGGGAAAGAGGCATGGTTTATCAAAGGTAACAAAGGTTCAAATGGCAACTTAACAAGTTTAAAGGCAGCATAAAGACTTCCTAGACAACCTGTTCCCTCAGGTCTTTCTATCTCCCCCTTCTTCCATAAGGTTCCCTGGACTCTGCCCAAAGTTCGGCTATGAGTCTTAGCATCTGCTTCAATACCCTGGGAGTCTTTCAGAGGCGGCCTGTGGAAGGCTCCTGTTCTGTTCCCTATCTTCTACTTCTATAACAATCCTGTTCACCCTTCTGAATGAGGTTTCTGCCTCTTCTCTAGCTTCCTCCTTCTTGTTTAGCTTCTTTAGGGCTACAGATTTTAGTATGTTTATCTTATATTATATGTCTAATATCCACTTATACCTGAGTATATACCATATGTGTCTTTCTGTTTCTGAGTTACCTCACTCAGGATGATATTTTCTAGGCAAACTAAGGTCTTTATTGCGCGTGAGCCGGGGGTTTTACCAACTGAGATTTGTCCTCAACCCATGTGTTAAACATATTTTATGAAATTGTGTTTGTTTCTCTCTTAACCCGGCTATCACCCAAATAATTGAGACTCCGTTATATTATTTTAGCAAGCTTCACAGCACAATCTCGAGCAGTATTAACTCTGTTCTTAATCCTCTAAACCTAACTGGCTTTCTCCCAGTGCACATCCCAGAGATACTTGCACTTTGTAGCTTTCTTTCTCCATCTCCCTCCGATGTTTCCTGGACCTCTCCAGAGGCTGAATGCTCATACTTCCTCCTCTAACTCCTTCTCCCCTGGCTGGCAGGAAGTCCCGCCCTATTCTCTCCCCTGCTCAGTGATTGGCTATAAACTCCTTTATTGGCATACTGGGGAACAATTGCGGAGCAGTGTTTACACAACATTGAGATAGGAGATTCTCAGAATAAGGAATCAGCTTTTGAATTATATAATAATGTTATGCCTACACCTATGTTTATTGACAATTACGGTGGAAAGGTGGCAAGCTGTCTAGGCACATGGATTCTTTTTTTCCTTTCATTGAAAATAAATCTTTTCTCACATAATATATCCTGATGATGGTTCTCCCTCCTCTACTTCTCTAAGGTCCTCTCCACCTCCCCTCGCATCCAGAGCCACCCCCTTTCTGGCTCTCCTTAGAAAACAAACAGTCTTCTATGGGGTAACAATAAAATAAGTTATAATAAGATAAAACAAAAACTTAAACATTGGAGTTGGATTGCACACAAACAGAATAAAAAGAGCCTAAGAAAAGGCACAAGAAACAGAGACCCACGCTGTGGAATCCCATAAAAACACTAAACTGAAAGCCATAATAGAGATGCAAAAATCCTGTAGGGGGAAAAAAAAAAAGAGGAAAATATAAGTACAGTAAAATAAAATTTAAAAATTAAGATAAAATTAAAAGGGATGGAGGTGGAGGAGCCCTGACATGACATTATGAGACAAGGAACCTCCAAAATTTTGCTGACTTTGTTTTCTGTTGGCCATCTACTAATGGGCATGAGGCCTACACTTAGGAGCAATTTGTTTCCCCAATGAGACTCCCTTGGAGGAAAATTAAGTTTTCATTTGCAAGTGGTTGCCGATTGGATATTGCTTCTGGGTTATGGTCAGAGGCATGTCTCTCCTTCTTTCAGCTCTAGGACCCCAACGGGTACAGACCCACGGGTACAGGCCTGGTGCACACTGCCTCAGTCTCTGTGAGGTCATATGTACTTCGCTCATGTTAATTTAGAAGACCTTGTTTCCTTGGTGTCCTCCATCCTTGTGGTTCTTACATGCCTTCTGTCTCCTCTTCAGCAGAGTTCTCTGAGCCCGGTAGGGATTTGATGGAGACATTTCCTTTAAGGCTGAGTGTTCCAAGGTCTCTCATTCTCTGGCTGTGGCTCTCTATATTTGTTTCCAGCTGTTGCAGGAGGAAGCTTCTCTGATGATGGTTGAGTAAGGCACTGATCTATGAGTATAGCAAAATGTCATTAGGTCTCATTTTGTTGCTACATTTTGTTGTTGTTTGTTTGTTTTTCTTTCTTTCTTTTTCTTTTCTTTTCTTTTTTTATTTTAGAACAGTAGTATTTGGTTTCAAGTTTTTGGTCACTCAAACAGTGTCAGCATGGGTTCCAGCTCTTGCCCTGGGCTTTCAGTCAAATCAGATGTTGGTTGGTTACCCCCACAAACTTTGTGCCACCATTGCCCTAGCATATCTTGTAGGCAACACTATTGTATAACAAAGAGTTTGTGTCTGGATTGGTGTTTATGTTTCTCTTTTAGGAGCATGCAATGTACTTTTCTGTACCAAAGGTACTAGCACATAGGGGTGAATGTTTTATGTAGGATCCAGCTCAACTTCTCTGCATTCAATGAATTGTGTAGGTACTGTCTTCAGTAATGGGGCCTTGCTGTCCATTTCTGGAGAGCAACCTATAGTCTTGACAACAGCCTGAGTTGTTTGGGGATTCCCATGGAACCTCTTTGACCAATAAATCAACTAGATGTAACCGAATCCTAGCACTGGAAGCCTCATTCAGTGACAAGAGCTGTCCACTTGGGTCTCCCTCTCCTCATTATTTGGCAATTTCAGTTAGATCATCTTTATACAGGTATATATTTTAGGAGACTTCTATTGCTTTAAGTTCCCATACTACCCCTCAAATAGTCCTTAATTTTAGCTGTCTCTCACCATATTCCCTCCTTTGTCCCCTCTTTCTTCTTCCATTGATCTTCCCATTCCAGTCTCTTCCACATCCATCCAAATCTATTCTATTTCACATTCCTAGGGAGATCTATTTCCCTCACTCTCCAGTCCCTTATTTCATACCTAACATCTGGTTCTATAGTTTGTAGCTTTGTTATCATTGACTTAACAGCTAATATCCACATCTATACCATATGTGTCTTTTTGGGTCTGGAATACCTCACTCAAAATGATTTTTTTTTCTAGTTTCATCTATTTACCTGCAAATTTTGTGGTTTCATGTTATTTAATGACTGATTACTACTCAGTTGTGTAAATGTACCAGATTTTCTTTATCCACTCTCCTGTTGAGGGATATCTATTTTGTTTCCATTTTCTGTCTATTATGAATAGAGCAGAAATGAACACTGAGCAAGTGTCTTTGCGATTGGAAAAAGCAACCTTGGGTGTTTACCCAAGAGTGGTACCGTTGTATCTTGAGGTAGATCGATTCCCATCTTCCTGAGGAACTGCTGCACTGATTTCCATAGTAGCTGTATAAGTTTATGCTCTCACCAGCAATCAATGAGCAGCCAGCATGAACTGTCACTCATTTTATTGATCTTAGCCATTCTGATGGATGTAAGATGAAATCTTAAGGGAGTTTTTATTTGCATTTTCCTAATGACTAAGGATGTTAAACATTTCTTTAAGTGTTTCTCAGCCATTTGAGTTTCTTTTAAGAATTTTCTGTTTAGATCTATCTGTACTCCATTTTTTAAAAAGTTGGGTTATTTCTTGATATCTAGATTTTTAAGTTTTTTTTTATATTTTGAGTATTAGCATGCTATTGGATGTGTAGTTAGTAAATTTTTCCTATTCTCTAGGCTGCCACTTTGTCTGAATAATGGTTTTCCTTGCCATGCAGAATTATCAGTTTCATGAAGTACAATTTATTAATTATTGTTCTTACAGCTGGTGCTACTGATGTTCTGTTTAGAAAGTCTTTCTTTGCCAATGAGTTCAAAGATATTCTTCACTTCCTCTTCTATCTGGTTCAGTGTATTTGATTATGTTTAAATCTTTGATCCATTTGGAGTCAGGTTTTGTGGGTGATAAGGATGTAGATGTAGACACACACACAGACAGAGAAATAAAGAGAGACAGAGACAGACACAGAGAGAAAGAGAGACAGAAAGACACACACACAGAGATAAACAGAAAGAGGAATTCTGATGCTCAGATCACTTTAATTTG